GACCCTTTCCTTTTTCTCCTCGTATTTGTTAAAAAGCGGTGACCAGAACTGGACACAATACCCACGCTGAGGCCTACCCAGCGCAGAGTAGAGCGGAAGAATGACTTCTCGTGTCTTGCTCACAACACACCTGTTAATACATCCCAGAATCATGTTTGCTTTTTTTGCAACAGCATCACACTGTTTACTCATATTTAGCTTGTGGTCCACTATAACCCCTAGATCCCTTTCTGCCGTACTCCTTCCTAGATTACAGTGCTGGTAAAAACAGCTTTCCAAATGAAGGTGTTCACAGGCAGTGAAGAAACAGAAGTGCATCTAATCAAAAATGCATATCTAGGGTGAAATTCTGATCAAAGTGGAAACAATGAGAGTTTTGTTACTGATTTCAGGGGGGCCAGGGTTTGACCCCACTTGGCTGAAGACAGAACATACGGGTAACTAAAAAGCAAAGATTAGATCTGTTTGCCATAAATATGGAGGCCATCACATCAAAGTGACAAAATATCCAACACAGTGGGGGGATACATTATAAATGGAATAAAAGTACTCCTGTTGGGAAGGTATGTCACTTTCAAAAAATACTTCAGGAAATTCCGTATGCAAACTGTATTTGGTGCCCAAATATTTAAACTAGTTCACCACAGGACCTCCCAAAAAACTGTGGGCACAATTCTGTGGGTATTCCTACCCAAAAACTTGTGTCTGCAAAATCAGAGGCCTAGTTGAAGCAGGTTTCAAAATCAGGTCACAAAAATGTAATTTCTGATTGCCCGTTTATAATTAGGAAAACTTCTCTTATCAAAGTAGCAGTACTATTGTGGAATTTACCATGAAAGGATGCAGAATAACAAACTGGTCGTCCGGACATCTTTGTCAGTGTCTGTCGAAAGGAAATTCTAAAAATCAAATGTTTTCAAATGCAATTTTTTGAGCTTTTTAAGTAAATCAGTTGCCACAAACATTTGTAAAAATGGTATTGCTTTGTTGCCTTACAGAGCAGTATTTAGCATGTGGATGATATTCCTCAACAGCATTTCAATAATTAATTATGGGTCAGGACCAGGGTGATAAATTTGAAAATATCCAGTCTATGAAAGCTAACAGGTCTGTTTTTTTCCTGCATTTTTGTGCTAAATTCAGAATGAAAAGGAAACGTGACCTTTAAAGAATTTTTATAGAGTATTTTCTTAAGAATTTTTTCAATTTATCTTCTATTACACAGAATTTGTGCCATGAAAGAAACTCATGTGTTTTGGGAGAGTTGTGTTTTGTTTGTTTTGGGGGTTTTAAAATACCAATTTTTTCTTTAAGCTTTCTCCTATATTACTAATGGATACATGAACTCAGGGATGCTAGTGGTGTTTCTCTCCCTTCTAGAGTTGAATCTCCGTACTCTGTTTCGCTGTAAGGTTACAATCTCTCTGCTAAGGAGTGAGAGAACCTTTCTGCTAGGCCACCAGATCTAAGCAACCCTTTTAACCTGGGATTTTATTACAATCCATCAGGGAGGAAAAAGAGAAGGTGATCAGAACAAGTGACCTGTTAATGGGTGTCAAGTGGCTATAATGACCTATGTACTGATATATTTTGGGTTTTGTTTCCTCTGTTATCAGGGTTGGGGTATTTTGTTGGTTGTTTTAATTCCAGCAGTGCCCACAATGTACTAGATGCTATCTAGTTCCTGCCCCAAAGAACTTGCAATTTAAGAAAGAGCGGACAGTCTTTTTTGGGTTTTTTTTATGGCACCTTGCAATGTTGATTACTGTTTTGTTAAATTATTCTAGTATCTCATTCCTTCTGAGGGGAGGGGAGATTCAGCTGCAGCATTGGAAACTTCTTGTGGCATTTGTTCATTCAGGGCAACTTGCTGCTTGGTTTGTATGACAGATGTAAGCAATACAGTTCCCTTAGTAGCTGAGATGAAATTTCACCAGAGATTCAATTTACATTCATAATGTCCTAGAGTCGGGGGAAATGTTGACTGCCACTGAGCTATGGACAGGTCACGTGGCACAACAGAAGCTGAAAATGTTAAATGTACATCTTGGGGAACAGGACAGGTAGCTCAGTGCTACACATGCCAGCTGTGAACTGATTTGTAGTGGTATTCCACTGCGTTCATCATTTTTGCATTTGGAAGTTGGTAAAATACCCTCTGTACTTGGACAAATCACTTAATCTCCCCAGACAAGTGACTGTTGCTCTGCTCAGTGTTGCAATGCCTAACTGACCTGGGCTCCAAAGTGCCTAAGTCACTCTTGAAAAGGAGACACATAGGTCAGTTAGGCTGAGCAACGCAACATCTAAATGACTTAAACATCTGGGTCTTCATTCTACCCAGTGCCATAGGCAAAACTGAGGCTATTTCTTTCCATCAGAGGGCTATTATGAGGATCAAATGCATGAATAATTATGAGGTATTCAGATCCTACTATGTGGAAGGCTGTTTAAGTATCTAAATAATAGAGTTAGGTTGTAAATATAATTATTGTTTAGTCATTAAGCTAAGGGACACATGTTTTCCCTTAGCAAGTAAATAAAACAGACAGACATGTCTGTACTATTTTTTGCTTGAAAGGTTTCAAGTAATAGGTGTAACTCATAGCATGAACACCCAGTGTTGACTTAAATACACCCGTAATGGGGTCTCAATAGTTCGGAAAGTTTTTCTTTGGCTTTTGTAATGTGATGTTGGATAACGTAAAGCAACAAAAGTTTTCTACCACTTGACCGTACGTATCCTAAAGTCAGTCAAAAGAACTAGCCCCAAGGAGGCTTTGACTCCACAAGGGCCCATGAAATATTGCACAAGGGGCATGATTAAGAAAACACTCTTCAATTCTTCTGGCTGATTGAGAGATTTTCATAGCATTGACATCAAAAAAGCTCTGGGGGTGCAAGGGATTCATGATTAGCCTTCATCTGCCGCCTCCTCCCTGTTGATACTACCTGGAAGTCATGGCTAGCTGTTAAGAAGCTAAAAGACTATAAAATTATCTACTTACATATCTATAAATTGCTATTAAGAAACCCTTTCATACAGTGTGCAATGACTACATCTTGGGACAAATGAAATATGGATGCAGAACTATCATTACATCCCTTTTGATCAAACATTGTGCTGCTCTATAGGGTGTACACCTGTGGTTTGTTGAACACATTTTAAAAACCTCTCAAACCTCTCCAAATATTGAATCAGCAAGTGTTTCTACACAGTGGAGTGGTGTTGACTGAGATTTGATCCTGCTGGATGGTGAAACACTGTTGAAAATTTGAGTAGCAATATGAAACTTTCTAATAGAGCTCAGTTACAGAAATACTTTTGCTGAATATCTGTGGGCTGATCTGTAAAAATTCTTAGGGCATTGTGTTTTGTTCTGTTTTTTTGTTGTTTTTAAGGTTGGCCAATATTTTCTCACCCAGTACACACACAATTTCCCTTAACTCCCTAACTCTCATTTCTCCCATTCCTCTGGGAACTAACTCTCTTTTTCTTGATATAGATAATGCACTTATATTTTTGGGAAGGTGTCCAGGTTCACAAATCAATAATCAGCCTTATGCTGGAAATCTTCCACGTGTGGTAGTCTGGTTAATTTCAGTGGGGGTTGTGAGCGCTCTCAGGATTTGGCCCACTCTACAGTTATTTCACCTCTGACCACAAAATAAAAATAGAAATCCTTCCAAAAACAAATGGAGAAGGGATAACTGAGGCTGGAAGAAAGCGTGCCATACTGGTTAGGGAGTTTGATTTTAAAGTGAATCAGTCAGGCGGGAACAGTGTTTACCGTGTTTATAACTAAATCCATAAACCCAAGCTCACCTGTTTTATTTTAGCCTGGATGTTATAACATAACCTAGAGCCTCATTCTTCTTTACCCTGACAGTAAAATAGTTTTCTTTTTTTGATTAAAGGGTGCTCTTTATGTTGCAAGAAAAGAATATTCAACTTTTAATGTTTATAAGGGCAGTAAGCTTATCATAATCTAGCCATAATGTTGCACTCATGTTATTAACTTAAAAGAATTGGAGACTGGCTATGATTTATGTGTGAAGCCCAGGGATTTTATTTCATTATTTTTTCTGCTTAATTGCAGGGTTTTTTCCGCAGAAGTATTCAGAAGAACATGGTTTACACGTGTCACAGAGATAAAAACTGCGTTATTAATAAAGTCACTAGAAATCGCTGCCAGTACTGCAGACTACAGAAGTGCTTTGAAGTGGGAATGTCCAAAGAATGTAAGTGGTTTCTAGAAACAGTTCTTCTCATTTGTGTTACCCCATATATATGGAGATCATGTGGGAAATAATAATACATTGTCATATAATTAAAGAACTGTATCATAATGCATACGCACAAAGGTGACAGAACTTAAATTTCACAGGCAACCTTAAATCTGGCATTTCCTAACTTCCAAGTGCTTGACCTTGCAACCTAAATAACATTATTTTAACGTGGGGTTTTTATGTAATATACCAGATGTGCAATATGGGCAAGCAAATGTGGATGTGAAAACATTAAAGGGACACTTTCAACTTTTATTTTTTGTAATTAGTTAATTTTTGATAAGAGACTCCTTTCAATAGTATGTCCTAAACTTAAAACAAAATCCTTTAAACAGATTCCCTGTTTTTTAAAAGAAGAAAAATTATCGCGTGTGTCAGTTTCAGGGTGGTGCACCTGTATCTTCCCCTCTGTGGTCCACTCCAGGAGTTCCCAGTCTCCAGCTGTTTCTGGGCAGGGACCCTTGTCCCACTCCCTTCTGACCAGGGCTTTTAAGGCTGCACAGCTATCTGCCTTACACTGTGATATCCCCAGCAAGCCAGTCTGCCTAACAGCCAGCACCTGGGCTTTGCTTCCACTCTGGGGGCTATGACCGGTGTCTTGACAGCAGTTGTAAGTCACCACACCTCTCTTTCTAAGCAAGCACCTTTATTCCGGAGGTAAAAGTATTACAGAGAAAACACATACAGCTAATAAAAAGAACCTACTACACAGATGCTTATCTGAGGTCACCCCCAACTCCAACAAGGGCACTGGTAGGTGTCAGTCTTTCCAACCCTTTTGCAAGGTTGAGCTTCCCCTCGGATCCAAGGTCCTGTCCGTTTGCTGGATCAGAAAGAAGGTCTTGTGTCAGTGCAAATGTACCCTTTGTATCCCAAAAGCCCTTTCTGTATGTGTTGGTCTCTGAAAACCTAGTTTGAACCAGTGTATGTAAGCTTCCTTTCCCATACGGAGGGGTTTACAGTCTAAGCGATTCACCTTAATCATCCCCTCCCCTCCCATGCACACACACGCTGGTTTTGGTTCCTAGAGGCGTTGTGGTAGCCCTCCCCGCTGGAGTTGCATACAATCCGTAGCCCACAGTGATCCATAAACTTAATACAGTATGGTCCCCAAAGATATTGCAGGGGATTGCAATTATCTGTCACAATAAGGATTTTTCTTCTTCCCGTTTTATAGTTTAGAAATGTTTTTGGGTAGGCGTAAGAGCCACAATACACAAACATGCTGAAGGCCTTTCATCTCTTCCCCCTTCTTCTTCCTGCACACGCCTGCCTGTTGCTTTGCTACCGTGTCTTTTTCTGTGTCTTTTTCTGCAAGGTGACCACCCATCCCTTATTTTAAGAGACGGCCCTTGACAACTTTAAACATTAAATTGAAGTTTATGATGATTGCATTGTATACTTGAAGCAGTACAAATGTACACTTGAGAGAAAAATACATGCTATGCTAAGAGAAATGGTGTTTCCCTAAAATGCCCCTTAAAATAAAGCGGCGTCCCTTACTTTTCACGTTTTTTCCCCCCCTTATTTCCATCCAACAAAGGTGGTCACCTTAGTTTCAGCTCTGTTGCTACAATTAGATAGTACTCCTCCCCATCCAACCCCCCTGTCATGAATCTGACTGGAACACAAAGTGCTGCCAATGAGCAAAGTAAGCAAACAAAAGATAAAAAGGAAGTATTTGCATATCTCTGTGTTCTAGTAATCTTTGGGGTTACTTGTGACATTTGTTGGTGCAAAATGTTCAGATGGAAATGTGATTTGACTTATTTTTCTTTCAAGCGGAGGGTGTCCCTTTCACTATAGAACGTAAAGTTTTCATACTTGTTCTGCAATCTCTAGGGGTGATTTAAAAAAAAGTTCACTTATTTTTGAGTCATGTAATGGTGGCAAAATACGTTTTTTCCCTTTTTTAAAAAATTAAGATTATTTTTATTTTATTTTTTGTACATGGACCACTCAACAATGGCTGAAGTTTAGAAGCTGGAACTTTTCAGGTGCCTCGTACTTATTGAAGCTAGTGTGCAAAGCAATCTTTGTGTGAAAAATAAATTGATAAATGAAAGAAATGTAGTAAAAAGTATTTGTAAAATAAATTTGACATATGCACAATGGTGCAGTTAATGTATCAGTGATAAGGATGACTATGTATGTATGCACACACCAGATAACGGACTAGTCCTGTTGTCCTTCCTTGGTCAAATCTCCCATTGACTCCAGTAGCTTCAGTCCAGCATGTGGTCATAACCATTACAGAAATCCTGGGAGAAGAAAAAATAGAAATGAAGTTTCCATTCTTAGATTCTCCCACAGAAGTCCCCCTAGAGACACTTAAACTTGATGAAAGAATCATAACACTGAAGAGAGAATGATAACCAAACTCTAAGGGCTTGTCTACACTTCCTCGTGGGGTCGATCTAAGACATGCAACTTCAGCTATGTGAATAGCATAGCTGAAGTCGACGTACTTAGGTCTACTTACGATGGTGTCTTCACTGCGGTAAGTCGACGGCTGACGCTCTCCCATCGACTCCGCTTGTGCTCCTCGTTCTGGTGGAGTACTGGAGTCAATGGGAGAGTGCTCAGCGGTTGATTTATCGCATCTATATTAGACGCAATAAATCGACCCCCGCTGGATCGATCGCTGCCCACCGATCCGGTGGGTGGTGTAGACAAGCCCTTACTTAAACTAGAGACTTAATTCAAGCAACTGTCCTTCTTAAATTACATGAAACTTCCCAAATAAAGTACAAAGTGATGAACTGTGTATGAGAGAGCTGAACACATCCTAGAGTCTCCTATTGGCCAGGCTCCAGTATAAGGAATCTAATAAACCATCTGCCTTGCATGTAATGAGATCTTTCTGATACCCACATTAAGTAACATAGCACTGCAAGCGTCACTATAGTTAAAGAAGGTGAGTGACTGAACATTTCTAATATACACCATTATCTTCCTGAATTTATAACTCTATAACAGGGATCGGCAACCTTTGGCACACGGCTCGTCATGGAAATCTGCTGGTGGGCCGGGATGGTTTGTTTACCTGCAGCATCCACAGGTTCGGCCGATTGCAGCTCCCACTGGCCGAGGTTCACCGTTCCAGGCCAATGGGGGCTGCGCTTCCCGCAGCCCCCATTGGCCTGGAACGGCAAACCGCGGCCAGCGGGAGTGCAGCCCCCATTGGGTTGGAACGGCAAACCGCGGCCAGTGAGAGCTGTGATCGGCAGGTAAACAAACCGTCCCAGCCCGCCAGCAGATTTCCCTGACGGGCCGCGTGCCAAAGGTTGTCGATCCCTATTCTATAACAGAATTCCCCTAGTGCAGAAATTTAGCCTGCAGTAAATAAACCAATAGTGAATTGTTTGACTGTATTTCTAAGGCCTGGGCAACGCTTAAAATTTTGGTTGACACAGCTACATTGGTCAGGGGTGTGAAAAATCCATACCCCTGACCAATGTAGCTATGCTGACTGAACCCTCTGTGTAAAATGCTTCCATCGAACTAGCTACAATTCAGGGAAGTGTTCCTACAGCAACAGAAACACCAAGTTCCTCCAGCATAGCTACAACAACAAAATTATGCTGGTTTAGGCCCCATAGTGTAGACATACCTGAAGTCTGGAGCCAAAACTACATCTGGCAGGAGTAGCACAAATGCCAGCTAAAGCCCATGGCAGCTTGGAAGAATAATTTTTAGTTTTGGGAGGCATGAAATCTGGGTGTGTTTCTTTTTCTGAATAGAGCCTTTCTAACTCAGAAGCAGCATTTTTCTTTTCCATCTGAAATGTTGCTAGTCATTAATATATAAACTGGACAAATACTTTGAATCCGTCGGGGAGGGAAGAAAGAGAATGATTGATCGTCCTAGTCAGTTTTGGAAAGGGGTTTACTGGACATGAACAGTGGAATTTTCATAGACACTTACGGCCATTGAATAATCCATGGATTTAAGGGCCTCGGGGCCCGATTCTCCCGTTTTTCACATTATCGCTCCATGTCCATTGGTGCAAAGCGGATGTAAAACGCTACCAATCAGAATGGCAGTTTCATACCCGTACTGCACTCATTTTGCACAGCTGTTGAATGATGACCCCCAGCTCCAGATTCTCTGCCTTAGACCTTGTGCCATCACTTAGACCAGTGCAAAGTGGGTGTGAAACGCTGCCATTCTGAATTAATAGCATTTTGCTCCCCCTTTGCTCTGCTGTAAATGGCAACACAACGTGCCATTCATTGACACACCTGTCTTTTTCATAATGGGTGAAAACACATTAACATAGCCTCAAAATTCAGAACTGAGAGTCTATGTCTACACTTCCACTTTTGTTGGTATAACTTATGGTGCTCAGGGTGAAATAACACCCCTGAGCGACATACATTACACTGACAGAAGTGCCAGTGTGGACAGTGCTACGTTGGCAGGAGATGCTCTGCTGTCTGACATGGCTGTCGCCGCTCTTCGGGGCGCTGGAACAATTTGTATAGTGGGGGCGCTGAGAACCACACTGTAAACCCTGTATATGATGGAATCCCCTTCAAGCTAGGGGGTGCATCAGCACCCCTAGTTCCAGCACCTATGCCGCTCATGGAGGGGTGGTTTATTGTGTTGATGGGAGAACTCTCTCCCATTCCATCAGCATAGAGCAGCTATGCAGGAGATCTTACAGCTGCATCAGTAAGCTCTCTGATGCAGACATGGCCTTAGACTGCAATGGCTCACAAGGTGTAGGGCTAGAAAAGATGCACTTTAAGTACTCTCATAGTTGTTAGGGACATTTCCACTGTACCCATGAAACTCATTTGTTAAAAAAACAAATTATTCAAGAGAAACCTCTTTATAAAATGTGGTGTTTTGTGTGTGTGTGTAAACATCTGTGCTTCTTTTAAATGGGGGGAGGGGTTGGATAGTCCAGTATGGGTGATGAACTCTTTATTTCTCCCCCTTATATTGTAAGCGGCCATCTTTTGATTAGTCTATGTAAAGTGCCTAGTAGTGTCGGACAGTGCCTGACTCAGGCCTCTGAGGGTATGACTACATTGTATCTGGGAACAAGGCTCCCAGTCCTGGCCCAAAGATTGGTGCTAGCAGGGTTTGTGCTAGTGCTCTAAAATCAGATGTGTAGACATTGCAGCACAGGCCGGAGCTCAGGCTCTGAAGCCTGGGAGCGAGGGGTGGGCTTGAGAGCTTGAATTACAGCATCTACACAGCTATTTTTAGAGCCCTAGCATGAGTCCCACTACCATGAGTCGGTGGCCCCGGGCTAGAAGGCTCGCTAGCTCTGCTCAAGCTAGCATGCTAAAAGCAGCAGTGCGGCATGGGGCGTGGGTCAGGCTAGCCACCTGAGTCCAAGCCCACCCAACCCCGTGGGTCTGGGCTTGGACAGCTCGCCCAAGCCACCACCTGTGCTAAAATGTGCATACAGCTAGTTTTAGTGTGCTAGCTTGAGCAGAGCTAATGGGAGTGTCTGCCCAGGTTGGGAGCATGCTGCAGCTGCAGTGTAGCTATACCCTTAGGGCTCATCTAGATCAACTGCTAGTGCACGGCATGCTAGTGTGCCGTAGATTTACAGTCCCGCTTGCCATGCACTAACTCTTCATCTAGACACGCCCTAGTGATATCACAATACACAATGAATTCTGTGACAGACATTCCTTATTATTTGTATGTGGGGATATACAGAGGGCTAACTGCTTCTCTTCCCCAATCCCAATAAAGAATAACCTGAGGGGCTAGGGAGTAGAGCGTTGTGGCCAGAGGAAAGGGCATGGCTTTCAAACCACTTGGGGATCTCTGATGCTGAGGGCATCCATAAGGAGGACTAGCTTCCATGCTGCGTTTTTTGTCCCCAAACCCTAAGCAGTAGGGTTTCTATGTGAGCCATACTTTCACTTGCTCTTCCACCACATGGGGTAAAATGCCTCGGTACAGAGCTGCCAGCAGTTCTCATCCGGGCAGGATCATTCCAGGTTTTTCAAATGAGTAACAAGTAATTGACAAGTTGACATGGCATCGTGTCACTTACAGACCCTGCTGGAGTGTGAACCTTCCAGACCATGCTGAGGGAGGGGTTAGATTAAATGCTTTTTCATTAATTTGTATACTACAGTGTGTGGTTCTGTGATTTTTTTTTATATATTGTTTATTGGCAAAATCAACATGATATAGGTTTAGGGGGTGAGGAAAGTCACTTACCTGCCCCCAATATATGCTGGCCTCCACGGGTTCTGTAGCTGTTGTGAAATAACCAGCATATTATGTTCTGAAACGTCACATCAGAGTTGGGTTTGGAAATCTCAGTAGGATGATTCTAAAAAACAAAAGAGGAGAGTGAATTATTACAATGCTCTTTGACAATCACCTTCAATTAACTTGTACTCCTGCTAATTTTCAACAGAGGCCACAAAAAACTGTAGGTCCTACATAAGCATGCTGTATTTCTTTAACATTTCTTTGCAACTGAATGAAGAAATTATTTTAAATAAGAGCAGCTAGAATGCAGAGTGCCTTCCACACAATATTAATACGAGACCAAACTATAGAGTATTTCCCTTTAAAAGCAGTAGTATTTCAGAACTGAAAGACCTTAAAGCCTTCCTTTTAATTTGTTCTTACCCAAATGTCTGCAGTTTTCAATGCATTTCTTGAGATGTTTGTGTAAACAAAGGCATATTTACTATAGGTTTGTTAGGATTTAATTTTTTTAAACTACCCTTTTCCCCATTTCACCTCCTTTCTGGCTGCAGCTACTTTACTCCATGGCATTCGTGCCATGAACAAAGGACAGTAAAAGGTACTTCGGAAGCCGTGTAGGAAAACAAACCTACAATATTTAACCAGCCCCAAATGGAAAAGTTAATCACGGTGGACAACTGCAAATGGGAACCCAAATGCCTATTCCTGAGGGCAAAGGAGGAATGAATACACTTCAACTGTGCAGATTCTGTGTGCACGCATGTGTACTTCTGTGTTTCTGTAAGCGAGCTAAAGAGAAATCCCTGTATTTTCTTTTTAAAAAAATGCAAAAATAGTTGCCCTCACATGCAGCTTCCAGTGAGTTCAATGGGAGTTTATGCATAAGCATCTGAGTAACTGCAGTCAGTGCCGTTGATAGGATTTTAAAGATATAGGCACAGTATTTTGGAAGACAACAGCCTTGTGCATTTCTTGCATATTTGAAAATAAAAATTAGTGAATGGCAAAGTGCAGTGAATTTATATTTCCTTACTAGCTTATTCTCTTTCAACCGCAACTTACTTTGTGGTCTGATTCATTGAGTGAGGTTAGTGGCACACCTGCCCCCAGTGCAGCTACATGATTATTCATTTGTGTTATGATAGTGACTATCAGGCCCAAGTGAGATTGGGCTTCATTGTGCTAGCAAATATATAGTGAAAGATGGCCCTGGCCCCAAAGAACTTACAAGCTAAACAGACAGTGTGTGGGAGGGGAAACAGAGGCACAGAAAAGATAAATAATTTGCTCATTGTCATACAGCAAGTCAGGGAACAGAACTCAGAATAGAACCCAGATATCATGACTCCCAGCTCAGTACCTTTATCTTGTGGACCATGCCGCTTTGGGAAGATACGAGTTCAGATCTTTGGATTCAGAGTCTCAAGTGCCAAAAGTTACACAATAGAACCAAGCAGGCCTTCCTAGTGTGTGGTACATTAGGGATTGGTTATGTTGTGTGAGCCTACTATGCAAGATCACATGGTGCATGCACAGAGGCTTATGCTCTAGTGATGTGTGAGCAAGCGGGGTTATGACCCAAACACCAGCAGGGAGCATCATTCGAGGAATTTCTTTTAGGTCTTCTTAAAAACAAAGATCTCAACAATTTTTTTAAATTTAACACTTAGAGACTGTAATCATGTTACCTAACACAGGACTGTGAGCTGCTGCTGAATGAGGAGGTCTGCTGTGGTTGACAGGGTCTCAGTCTCTGATAAAACCTCAGGAAACTAAGGCAGGAAACTCTGCCTGCCATTTTATTACATTTATTACATTACTGAGGGCAGAGCAGGATGATGCCTCATCATTAACATGTTAATGATGAGGCATCATCCTGCTCTGCCCTCAGTTGTTGGGAACAAGGCACACACCTGTCTGCGTTCGTGGGCTGGTAGAACTAACACAGGTGTGCAGTGAGGCCTTGTACAGTTATAGAATAGGCAGGAAACGGAGGAGAATTGTTTCAACAATGGGCTTGTTCAAGCAGGATACTGGAGAAACCACCTTAATAGAGTGAAATTTATCCCTCTTAGTACAAATCCAGAGTATCCTGAACTCCTTCCATCTCCGTTTTTTGGGGAGACGCCTTTCATGCCATCCTTCTCAGCTCTGCATGGCAGCTGCTGCCCTTCCCAGGCCTCTTTGCGTGAAGGCTTTAGACCACAGGATTCAAGTATTGTAGTTGCTGATTCTGTGGCCCCTCTCCAGACTTGCCCCACATATAGATTTGTGATTCTGCTTACAATTAGCTTCCCTTGTGTGGAAACATTACCATAAAGTAGGGAATCTACTGCATTTAAAAACACAACCCACCCCCTCTTTACTCACATTATTTTAGAATTCTGTGCTTTGGAATATTTAGGGGTACATGTTTCTCTGGGTATATGGTCAAAAGCGGCTTCGGAAACAAGTTGACTTCTAAAGTGGTGGGGAAGGGCTGCAGACTAAACAAAGCATTTTATCAACAAGAGTGGGATCTCTATTCAGATCTCGAAAGAGATGTGATCTAAGCCCTGGAGTGGGAGCCAAGAACTCCTGAATTCCTACCCCAGCTGACAATGTCTGTTTCCTCTGTCCTCTTTGGCCAGCCAATTTCCCCATGTGTAAAATGTGATTAATAACCTGACTCTCTGCAGTTTTGGGAGAATTAATTTATGTTTGTAAAGGGCTTTGAAGATGAAAAATCCTAATGATAATTCCACTGAAGGGAAGAATTTGAGAAAAAGAAAAGGAGGGAAACTCTGAAACCAAGCCACACAAATCAGGTTCTTCAATCTGTGAAATTGCATAGGCTCAGAAGATCAAGCCCCAAACATTCTTGTATCCCCAATGTGGAGCTGTTTTGGGAAGAGAGAGAGAGAGAGAGAGCAAAACGGGCATAAGGGTGCTTCATTTGTTTGAGAACACAGTATATGTTAGTTTTCATGTGTTTAAAAACACAGTAGTCTAATGTTAAGGACAGTCACATACTATGGATAATGTATTCTTTATGATGTGGTGCTGAAAATGAATAATGGAATGTTTTATGTTAAATTAAAATTTAGTTGTAGAGAGCAGAGTTCTGCTGGCTGCACATTGTTTCTATGGTTAATCAAACATCTTTGCTATTGGGGTGTTTTGATGTCTTCAGAGAAGCAGATCCCTTTATTTTCTCTGAGATCTCTCTCTTTTTTTTAAAGCCTTTCCTTCTGATTTTTGCACTGCTTTTAATGCCAGTTTTAATGTTTAAAGGAGCAACTTAGATTGAATGTTATTATTCATAATTTACTCTATGTTCTGTGAAGATGGTTATGTAATAGCAGTAATTGCATCAACTCATCCAATGCGCTTTCCTCCAGTGCCATGTACAGCAGATTAATAGCCCATGAATTCATTTGCAGCTCGTTGTGTTTCAGAAAGTATTTCAGGAGTCAATTAATAAACTGCTAAAGAAAATAGCAAAAATGATTTTTTTTTATCTATTATGTTAACTCTCCAGCTGAACCATTTACTGGCACCCTTTGTTGGGTGACCTAAGGAAATTCTCTTCTAATTGCTGACTCAATCACACCGTGACTCTTGAATCTTGCTCAAGTCAAAGCAGTTTGATAATTAGGCTGAACATTATTTTCTTAAATGTTGATAGAAAAAGTAAATGGTGCTGCATGCGTCTGCTACTTCATTCATTGCTTTTCAAGTATTACATAAATATTTGTAACTTTAAACCATCATGTAATCACGTTGCAACACTTAGAAAGAGAAAATGTAGTTGTATGAACTAGGAATTGAAGGCCCAACACCACTTGGCACAATTCCCGTGTTTTGTTTTGTTTTTGTCAGCTGCCAGGCTGACTTTCTGTAGCCATTGCCCCTATCATGTATGCTTAAGTCTGGGGTAAAAAGCGGGTCAGGGGAAGGGTGAGGTGGTGTTACTGGAGGAGCACATAAAAATCAGTGGTTTGCATCACAGCACCAATGGGAAAGAAAAAGTGAGGGAAATCCTCTAATGCTGCTGAGCAAAACACACGGAAAGTCAAGTTCTTACTGTTTCACTGGGACAAGAAGGAATGATCGAGACTGTAAAAATTGAGAACAGAGCTGGGGTTCAGAACCCAGGGGGAAATGAGAGAACGGTGAGATTCCTGTAATGCACGCCAGACCTCAGGAGCAAAGCCCCAGGGGAAAGCATAGTACATGCTGCAAGGCATGCCAGTCTGGTTCTAGAACTGACTTTTCTTTCTCTAATCCTTTAACACCGAGTTTCCTTTAATTTGCTGTTTCAATTTTTCCAGTCTCTATCATTTCTTGTCCAAGTGAAACAGTAAGAACCATTTATTTTGAAATACAAGGGGAAATGCTAGGCCTTGGCTCCCTCTCTTTTAATAATAACAATATTTTTAAAAACAGTTTGCCTCCTATGAGCTCTTGCTTTCTTTGAGAACTGAGTAAGCATAATAGAAACATTTGTGATAGGCTCACATAAAGATTGATTACAGGTCCTCACCTGGAAGTTACACTAAAGCATAGCTACTACGGTGATCCTTTCAGTGCTCTCTGCTGCAGTCTCTGCATTGTCACAGAGACCAAACTTATTTGATCATGTACACTGTGTCTGCAGCATTCATTTGCATCCATAAATCCTAGTCCTTGCCGACAATAAATGTGAACCTTTCCCATATTTGGTTTAATAAGATTTTTTTATTAAATTTGTGACACATAGAATTATAGTTTCATCACTCTGCAGTATCCAGTTTACCTCTGAAATACCCACTGGTCTTTGGGGAGGGAGGGCAGAATATGTGGTGTTTGGATGTTTTGTATTATAAAGTCTGTCTTTGGCCCTTGTACAGGGTAAATTGCATTGAATAACACTGAGTTCCTGTAAAAATTATGCTCTTTTCCTGCAGTACAGGTGGAATTTTAATAGACACTTTGCCCTTTCATAGAGCCTTCTATCTAATTATCTCAAATTGCTTTGCAAACATTAATGAATTAAGCTGTAATATGCTGCTGTGAGGTATTACTGTTCCTGTTTTTGCAGAAGGGAAAATTAAGGCGCAGAGAGGGGAGTTACTTATCCAAGGTGACACAGCAAGTCTTTGGCAGAGTGAAGAATAGAGCTGAATTTGCTGAACTCCAAAGACCATCCTTTCTTAAGGGAATTACATTTGATCAGGGCACATATGTAGGTTTTTTCCCCCTATACTTAATAACATTATTCTAACCATACTTTTTTCTTTCACTACACTTTTTAACAATTTCTTTTAAAATCAGTAATTTGTGGTACAAAATGGAAGTTTTAAGCTGCATGCAACGCGTGTGGGGTTTGTTGGTTGGTTTCTTGTGGGGTGGTTGTTTTTTTACTTTGAAGACAAAGCTCATGCTCTCCTTGTGGTCTGCTATGTAAAAATGAAGTTGCACTTCAAGTTTGAACCTCCATAAAACCATCACATAAATCGACACAATTGGAAGTCTCTTCAGGTGAATCCCATGCCTGAGTCAGTAGAGGCTGAGCTAACTCCAGCCCATGCGATAGACTGAATGTTGCCTCTGAGTCAGG